GGGGAGCAAATTGCGCGGGGGGGGGAGCGCTCCCCGCGTTCCCCGCCGGGGTCCCCGACGGGGACCCCGTTCCCCGACGAACACTACTAAAGACTCCAAAAAATATACGGTCCATGGTGGGAAATCAAGCCTAAGGATATGAAGACTTGGATAGGCTCACGATAAGAAGCTTAGGATATAAAGATACTAAGCTCAGGAAATGAATACAGTAATTAAGTTGATTAACAGTTTGATGCATACAAACCTGAAGCGATGCAATTCACAATAGGTTGTGGTAGTTCGTAGCTGCTACCCATAGTCACCTGTGGGATAGCAGTTCCAGTTAATTGAGAACATGCCGCTCCAAGCCTATCGCAAAATTCACGACCATATTTTACGTTGCATTGTAAAACAACATCACCTGCAAGAACGAGATATTCGAATGGAACAATTCGGTATAAATGCAATTGAAAGGATTGTAACTAGGACACTGTTGTGTTCAAGGACGAATTTAAGTGGCAAAGTTGATCAGATACTGCCTAACGTTGAATTGACGATTAAGTGCAAGAAATTATCGATGGTTTCTGCCTGATGCTGAAGGAGAGGAACAGGGACAAAGAAACTGCACTGACTGCTGCTGGCCACAGCAGTCTCATTCAACTCATATCTCACCTTCGCACAACGAAAAGATGACAACCAGAAAAAGTGCTCTGAGCATTTTGTGAGACGGCTTAACCTTTGACTGCTTCGCCTAAAATTCAAGTTTGTTATCATCGCTATTTAGATTGGGCATGAAAAGCGGAATTACAAGAACGATAGCAATGAGTTGAACTTCGTACGCAGGATAGTGGACAGTAGGATTCAGAACTGATACGAGCGAGTTCGGACAAAACGTAAATCAGTTAACAGCCAGATATTTTTCCACACTTAAAATTTGTCAAAAGATGGACCATTGCAATCACAGTTCATATCTTGCTACTGTCAGCATGGGAAAATGTTGTGAAAATGCGGATAAATACAAGCAAATAATGCGCTTCATCCAAGATATGGCATCAGCAGTTCCTATTCATATTGAATGGGAATGAAAATTTTAAAGCAGCATAAGATTCCAGACGACAACTGACGGCCAAGGATCAACGAATATTTTTAAGATGGATCATGCAAATGTTGATTCACATTATTTTTGCTCCAGAAATTAACTTAATTCAGAATTATCAGTTACAGTACTCGGATGGTAGAGATCAAAAAAGCATTAGGGCCGGGCTTACTGAGAATCGCAAGCAGCTATGAAAAACAGGTTGACCGAAGCGGATATTAAAACAGCACTGAAATGATCCTTGACAAAGCAGCCATTGGAAATCAGTCACTAATTGAGTGAATTTCAGTAAAGTTAAAAATGATGAAAGAATTGGAGAACATTCAGTCCGGGTGTTATTTAGGGAGAAATGTCGAGAAAGAAGTGCTAATAGCTATAAACCGCTTGATTTTCAGAACATGCCAAGTACTGACTGAATTTATGGATGGTGAGTTGACGTGTATGGCAGGATAATCTCTGTGATGTAATTGAAATAGTGCGTTTGAATAAATACGCACTTATGATTATTAGTCTTTTTTGAATATGAATTATTTGTTCATCATTATTCGTTGATGTTATGCACATTGTGATTTTCGCATTTCTATATCTCATAACCTGACTGATAACATCTAACTTTTTCGGTAATTACAAAAGAACAAATATGTTGTCTGATGCGTTCTGCACGCATTTATACTTTTTTAGTGACCTGGTTAGAGCATAGCATTTGAGTTGTACGTGAAATATTAGCTGTTCATAATCAGACGACGTGAAACCTTGCCGTGGTGAGGTAACATATCGACCATTCATCTCCGAACCACATTAATTGATTCCTCTAAGCCACCTGCACAAAATTCACGGGAGAAATTTAATCTTTTCTGAAACAAGGTGAAGGGGACCACACGCCCAAACGTGAGCCTACGAGTGAGCCTTAAACTCGGTATGTAAATGACTCCAGCGGATGACGGTAAACTGCATCCGAGTGACCTCAACAACCTGACAACGTATTGTCTGCCTACTAAAGTGTTTTTGAAGGAAACGCTACTCAAATTTCTGCCTTGACGAGATGATCAGTATCTGCAATTTTCAACCAGAAGCAGCCGTGTATTTCTCTTTCGTGACAACTCGAATTTCATTCTATCACTCCAATTCTCTGTGTGATCTATCGATGCTCACGAGTGCAAGTCGGTATCATCAGTATTGTGCAGACACTGCGCTATTGGAATAACGCCTTTCACACGGGGAACTGCGCAACACTATGAGCAATGTGATAGACCGAGTTACGTTCGCATACACAGCCTTCATTGGTTTTCATCTTCACAATGAGGGAGGTTTACGAAATGCTACGAAATCTTACTATTGTTCATGCGTGAGTTCTCTGAGCAATGCAGAATGCAGTCTGATGATTTACCTGCCTGTGTGTTGGGCAAAGTGGATAGGAAATGCTGAAACAGTGGGTCGAATGAGTCATATCGTCATTCAAA